CCCTCGCTGAGCCATCTCGATCACCATATCCTCGATTGCGCGCGCCTTTTTTGGCTTTACGATCGCTATCCTAGCCACTACAACCAGCATCACCGCCGTCCGATGGGATTCTTGCTATAAAAACTGCAGTATAAAAACTACGTAATCACTTACGTCGCTCGCGAGCGTCTGGCAGCATCACCTGTTGCATCACAGACTGACGCATTTGCTCCTGTTCCCTAATTTCGACACCATACAAAACACTTAGCAAAATGTAGCATTATAGTAGATGAATGAAGTATAGTTGCCTATTACTGCTGCTTCATTTGCTTCTGCTGAGCCTGCTCCATTGATATCTGTGGCTGTGTCGCCTTCATTTCCTATTACAAGCAAAAATAAAGCTGAGTACTGCACATGATTGATGATAAAGTTCATTATTCCAAAGCAGGAAGGAGCTGATGAATCATAAGACTGGATATTACAAAGCTTCTATGTAGAGAAGAAAACAACACATAACTTACGCTCATAATGACGTAATTCTCTAATTCCAACAAATGTTCGTCAATAGATTCTCAAAACAACGTCACTGTTTTCGTTTTACCTTATTTTAAGGGATAAGGTGATGTGGGTTTGTCAGATTTAGGGCTTTTTCCAAAAACACATTGGGTTTTATTCTCAAAGTTCAATGCCATAGTGAATGCATTCAAAAGACCTCATTAGCGTACTATGCATGCATATAAACTATGCTGAAGACAAATTATGAGCATCTTGTTCCCACTGGTGATACACAGACCTTGGCAACTGCAACACTGCATCACCTGACACAGCCACCGCTGTTTGCTCCAAGCACACTGTCACCAACTGCTGGCGGTGGACATCTTCCATAGAGGAGAATGCGTATGCCTCCTTCTCTCCGTCAAGAGCACGGGCATTGCGCATCTCCTCACGCATCATCTGCGTTTTTTTAACAGAATCCACTGCAAGGTGCAAGTTCTTCGTCAAGTTTGTAATCTCTTCATCAGAGTCCGATTGTCCGCGTTCTGCACGAGACAGTGACAATAACGATGGATCTGCATCCTGCTGAATTGTTTCGTCAAAGTCTTGCTCAATAGTTTTTTCTTGATTCTGTTCCTGGGTCGACGTTTCGCGAGGTATAACATTGCCAAAGCGATCAAGTTCCACTGCCTCTTCGTCCTCCTCCTCCTCAATAATCTCATCGTCTTCAACATCCTCCAGACTTGGCAAATCCATCCGCTGCCGACGCTTCTCGTGTTCTGCCTGACATGCAGCTAAGTAGGCATTCTACAACACAAACAATACACACCGTTCATCATCAGCACTAATCCCTCTCACATCAACACTACAACACCTCTATCTCCTTCCTCACCTGAGCCTCTACTACGTCAGCACTGTTTTCACAGGCTGCATAGTTTGCCAGACAATCCGCATTGATTTTGAGAAATTCTGCACCCCACGAAAATTCATCCATAACTTGAACAGCTTCCTCTTTGAGTCCCACAATGTATAATGTAGCTGCAATTGCCTCTGCGCAAGAAAGCTTGTGTGGACGTCCATAATTTACTGAATTTGCAGCTACAAGGAATGGCAACAAACGATGAACACCCGAGCGCAGCTGCTTGTAAGGCAAGTCTTGTACTTTAGCCCAGCTACAGTCGATCACTGAGATACCAGAGCCCATTACAATGTCTCGATCAGCTCGAGAAACAGCTTGTTCACCAGCAGGAGATAGTACAAGTCCTCGAAAGTGTGCACCAGGTTTCATGCTCTTGATATAGCCCAAGCGACAGAGTTTGCGACCTGTGCAGCGCTTTGTATCACATTGTTCAAAGTCCCACATACGAAGCGAGACAGAAAACATACGACGACGGTAATTTGTTGCACTCTCTTCTTCTCTACGACATGTCGTACTTCGATTGAATGTATTCCGACCACGCTCTTGACGTAACGACGGCCCTTGATCCACACGCTTTTTACCCATAATAATGTAATTTTTGAAATGATTGTCGCAAATACTCAATGTCACTTTTTTTGTTACTGTTTAGCTGTGATCTTTTGGGTAAACTTGAAGATAATAGCGACGTTTGACCCATTTCGTTCAAGATGTCTCAAGACCATACCATTAGTGGCATTCAAGAGCTTAATGCTGTGAATGAAGCTATTTGTTTTGATCAAACCTTGTCTACATACTTTCATATTGCAGCTAAAGCTAAAACAAAACGCCGCAGACATCATGGAAGACGTTGTCTTTCTTCCCGCCCTCCACTAAATTCGGATGTCGGTACTAGTCCTGAAACCTGCTTGAAGCAACTAAAGCGACTTCTTCGTGACGCTACGACTCCACTGCAATCGCAATACATTCAAAAACTCTATACAATGGTATTGTATCAATTAAAGCGAGCAATAAAGTCACCCGTTGTTCTTTCGAGGGTCTGTCTGTTCATTTGATCGTCACGAGTTCATCGTCTTTTTTGAACCTTTTACTTACTTACGGCTATTGATTCGGGTCTTCTTGTTATTTTTGTAGACATTGGACCTTTGTCAAGAGATTTTCAAACGATCGGCAGCATTTCGGATACTTATTGTAACACAAACAGCCACATTCTTTGATCATTTGCTGGTGGCAGCAGGTGAAAACCCGAGTCCTAATGTATCGAGAGCATTGCGCGTTAGAAATCAAGATTCAAAGCAAGTCAAGATGGTATTGATGCTCATTGAAACGTGGAAACAGGACTTTGGAGAGCGGTATCCATCCCTAGTAGCGGGTCATGCAGTATTGTTGGACAGGGGATATGAGTTTCCAAATGAACGTGAAAGGTTGCAGCAAGAGAGAGAGCAAGAGGCAGATTCTCGGCGAAATCTTCAACGTGTAAGCAATGTCAAAAAGGAGCAACGAGATCGAGAGATGAAGCAGTATGTACTGGAGATAGAGCAGGTGTTAATAGAAATGAATCGCGCTTTTGAGATTTTGGTGCCGACGTTGGATACGTTTATAGCATCGGATAGTCCACAAGAGAGAGAATTGACGCGTTTAGCTGATGGATCGGCTGCACAATTGAGCAACAAAGAGCACAGTGAAAACCTGAAGAGCGACGCACACGACAACATAGGTGGAATAGGAAAATACGACCAGGATGATATCCATAACATTGAATGCAAAGCTGTGGCCGTGCCAGCAGCAGTAGCAGTAGATGAAGAAGAGGAGGATGTTGAGTGGGAAGATGTAGCGACGGATAGCGGTCGGACTTGCAAAAGTGGGATGAGCTACAATTCCGACGAGGACGATGTTGAGAGCGATCAAATGGATATCAATGATATTGTACAGGCTTACGGCCTCGGTAGCTCGTCGTACCATCTGACTGTCGAAGTGTCGAAGCAAGTTTGCGAGGAGTCCTTGGAAAATGACGTGCTATTTCAAAGCTTGGCTGATGGTGCACTGCGCATGCGCAAACGCTTTTTGCCGTTGTTGGACGACTGGGAACAGCACTCAACGACAAGGCCCTCCGCATCAAGCCTTTCCACATCTCCGTCCCAGCGCGAAGTGCTCCAACGGATCTATGATCTGCGTGATCGAATAACGCGTGTATTATTGAAGTGGGACGATCTCGTTCAAGGCTCGAAGTTTTCGAAGCGATACGCCTCGACTCGATCTACAGTAGTCTCGCAGCCTCTCGATGCGTATAAGCCTCGTACGAAGCGTAAACGTTATGAGCGCTAACTTGCCGGAAGGAACCGCAACTTTCTTCTAGATTGACGAAAGTAGGCCTCAAGCAGCTGGCACGTTATAAAGTAAGAAAGACAAAGTTATTTTTCCTTCTGTCTGCTGTGAACACGATGTGGCTGGTATCATCATAATATAATACAACGCGGACGCAACGCAAAAGACTGTAGCGTCGTGTTAGGCACACATACCACCAGAGAACACCTCATATTGCTGCTTACATGTTGTTGCCTTAACTACATGAAGCATTTACAACGCTTTACAGTCAACCCATTATTCAAGACTTAAGTGTCGGTCAAGCTTTGGAATAAAAGACCTGCAATCTGGTTCTGAATCAATTACAATTATGGTCACGCATACTGTTTAATACTGTAAACCATTGAGATGGAAATTTTGATCACGGTAGCGATGTGCATTACCAACAAATCTGCAAAGTCGCGGAAAACGAATAGCTACTATGAATGTACAATTGTATACTCAACAGCTTGATCATGTTTTAAAGGTATCAGCAATATCAGATACACACCAGCAAATACCGGTTGGTTCAGTATGAACTTACCTATGATGTAAAAGCCCAGGTTGGTGTGCAGAACACTAATATCGAATGAGATAGCTTTAACGCAATTATTATGATTGTGATTGTAAATGTCTGTAGTTTGTAGTAAGCTGATTGAAGATACTTGAAAGAAGAGCAAATACACATTTTCAATGCTAAATGTCATTATCTCGACAGGATCTGATAATATTTTTGCATACGCTTGTATAAAATCCACCTTTAAAAGCTTTTTTTCCTTCATTTGCTATCGTCATTTTCCTACTAAGCTAAAAATATGCGCTTTCCATCATCACCCGTCTTTAACTCAATAAAACAGAGTGGGAGGGGGCTTCATGATACAACATCCTGTCGTGTCACCTTCTCTTCCTTCGCATTGCTGCTCACCATTTGTTGCAATCATTGATCTCCATCTTCTTTCTCATCCTTCTTCTTCTTCTTTTTCTTCTTTTTTTGCTTTGATACAAGTCTTGAACATGCATTCTCTTCTTTTTGTATGTCTTATCTACAAACGCGCAAAACTTTGGTCCTTTCCGTTTCTCGTTTGCTTCCTCGCTCCTGTCATGATACCCACACGTCCTCACGCTGCGCGTCTCCAGCGTTACTGGGGTCCTTCCTCCTCACTTTCACTGTCGTTACTACACCACACGCTCTGCCCTAATCAGCTGGCTCATACTTTTCATTATACCATTGTTAAATGAAATTTGTCTGGTCGAATCGGCTCTCGTTTTACGCACGACTTGTAGCATTCATGCCCATACCACCCACATCATTCAACATCATCATACTGCCTTCATTGCCATGCATCTGTGGTATGCGGGCATTGCCGCGGTTGCTTCCCTGAAACTGATGAGAAGCATCCACGTGACCACCCTGCATTCTGTACATCTGGTTCGATTGCAAATGCTGCTGCTGCTCCTGCAGATAGTCTCCTAGAGACGACATTGGCAAATGGTGCATCAGCATACCATTAGCGCCATGATCAAACACATTATCCGCAGTTGGCGACACACCCGCATCCATACTAATGTCCATGTTTGGGAAGCGCTTGAGAATGCGTGCCGTGATGCGACGACCACCTGACGTGTTCTTCATAGCTGTCAGGTGCGGGCGAATCGCCTTCACCAGTAGCAGACACTGCTCCTCGGCGCAAACACACAGGGCACGCTGTACCACGTAGTTGGCAAACTGATCCTGCAGCATCTTGTTCATCTTTGAGCAGCTCGTGATTTCAGCAATATACTTTTGGCGCACACGCTCGGGGGCCTTTTCAAGGCACTTCTCAATTACATTGGAACTAAATTTCTGCACCGAAAGCTCGTAAATATGGCCCAACGGCTTCATAATGACACCGAAAGCCTCCTCAGCCGTACACGAGTCAAGAACATACTGCACAACATAGTTGCCATACGGGTCCTGCATCAGCTTCATCGCCTGGCGCTCCACCTGCTCAATCACCGCTGCCTTTTGCATCGTGTTGGCTGCATCCAAGCAACGTTGTAAAACGCAACATCCATGACGATGCGTTCCAACAGTAGTACATTCCTTGCACACAGCATCAAACACAAACTGATTGTACTCCGGTTTCATAAATTGCAGAGCACGCTGGATCACGTGGTTACCGTTCGAGTCAATACACAGGCGCACAGCATCGTCCTTTAGCGCCTCAACAATAATGTCAGGTAAACTGGTCATTCGCCGTTGACCACTACCGTCAGATTGTTCCTTGCATTTGTTCACATAACTACAGTTGTCTTCATCCTCTTCCTCGTAGTCCTCTTCAAAAACTTCTAACGATGTTGCGCACACTTCTACTACCTTCTGCACTGACCTCGTACCGTGCAGGTTCAGTGCAGCAGCCACTAGGTTCGAGCTCACGCGGCGTATAATCACAACCCGTTGCTTCTCATTTACACGTTCCAGCAACTTCTGAAAGAGGTAATTACCGAACGGATCAACCATCATTTCAGCAAGGTGCTCGAGTGATTCTTGGTATATCACCTCGCACAGATCAGAACGGTTTTCGTAGTCGAGTTGCTCCTGTAATAACCGACAGCCATTTTGATCCTTCGACATAGCAAACACGCGGTTTTGGATGTCTTCCACGCTCAACGCAGCGCTTAAACTCGATGAATCATTCGCAGATCCTCCCATTATCGGTGCACTCGTGCCTGCACCGTTCATTAAGCCCGCACTCATGCCACTGACACCAGACTTACCCGAGCGGTAACTCATCCAAGACTGCTGACGGCCTTCAAACGGTACATTCAGTTGATGAATGACATCATCGCCATTCCTTTGATGGCGCTGCTGTTGTATCATGTGAGATGGAGACGACATCATCATCCGGCTTTGATGATACATTATCGAACCATTCAGGCGGTTTGAATTTTGACCGCTGCCCATGTGTTCTGAGGTGCCAGCTTGGTGCACAAACTTACACTTGCTGCCCATACGACAATGCCCTTGCAAGAAAAATTTGCACTGCTTCATTCCCACATGCAGTCCTCCCCCCATGCCCTTGCAAGGCAAAGGCGGAGGAGGCGACTCAGGGAGCGGTGGTGTCATACGCGCGTACATATTATTGCGTCCTTGCGCGCGGCTATGCGCGTGACCTCCACCGTGCATCCCCATTGCGCCGTGCGGCTGCAATCCATAGCCCATCTGCGCGTGAGGATGTCTCATTGGGCTCGAGTGCGTATTCATGTACATGTTTCCACCAACATCGTACATACCAGAAGGTAGTTGTGGTCCTATGACCATTGGGTTCCATTGACCTGGATTCATCGGTACCCGTGCGTGATTTCCACCATAGTTGTACGAGACGCTAGCTGCCTGTGGTGATCGATACTGTTGAGGCTGCTGATGATGATAACGATACTGCTGCTCATATGAGGCGGCCATTTCGTTGTTGCTGTAGTAATCGTGCATTTGCTCCTGGTAATAAGCACTGTTATCCCCATCTTGACTGCCCGACCAGGAACCTTCCGACGACATCCGCGGGCTCAGCGTGTAAGCCCCACTATAAGAAGCGTTGGAGACAGTATTGGCACCTGGTACCGTGCTTGACCGCGAGCGTGAGAGCGACGTTGGCAAATGCTGTTGTTGGCCGTCGCATCCGTTAGACCGATAGCGCTCCTGGGGCTGCTGGGTGGCAGCTGACGGTTGCTGGTGATGATAATGACCACCCAACGAGGCATACTCACTGGGCGACTCCTGTACTGAATTGAGCTGAAACTGACAAGTCGCGTATGAGTCCGCACTTCGAGCTACGCTTGGTGTACTTCCTGAAACGGTGCTAGCACCGTTAGCAGTACGCTTATTAGTCTGAAGATTCATCTGTCGGTCATCCAAACTAAGTTTGAGGAAATCTCCACCTAGCGCCTGACTAGGCGACTGCGAAAGAAACATTTCAATACTGTTTTTGCGCCGACTATTGCGCGACGGCAGCATTTCCATTTGCGGGCGAGTCTTGCGCACCTTGATATCAATCGTTCTTCCCACTTCGCTCGAAACGTTCGTCGCTTCAGATTCATCGTTTGAATCGTCCTGCTCATGACTTGCTTGGTTAGATGGCGACCGAGCAGGAGACGGCAGCATGTCATTGTTGCCTGCAGTATCACTGTTGTTGATGGTAACTTCTTTTCCCAGATTCTCGTCGCTACTTTCTGCTGGTGATGACGCAGCCGTCAATTCTTCCTCACTGTACTTCATCGGCGCAAAAAAGTCGCTCGAGCTTCCAAAACGAAAGAGATTCGACGACTCAAAGCTGAGACTTGAAGGTCTTGATCCATTCCGAGTACTTGTAACTGCTTGCTGATCATCCTCATCTCGTTCTCGATCCTTTTGCACATACGTCATCTTGCTAGAGTCTTCAGAGGACGAAACACTAGTAGGTGCAAATTCCATCGTCATTAACGTCCTGCCTTTCGTTTCACGAAAGAAAGATTCTCCACCTAAATCAAATAAGACCACAATTACAAATGCATACACACACATATATATATATATCTGAGTCAATACTACAGTCACTATTATATAAATTCCATCCTGATCATAAACGAACAGATAGAGAGATACGAATCGTGTCGTGTCTTCTAAATGAAGAAACCAAGTACGTAAAAGACCAGAGAAATACGTCTGGTATCACGTTTGCAAGTTGAAAACTGTCCGTCTTCAAGTATTTCTCTTGTCACCGTTTCATTCCATCCATCGATATTCATATGTATACATGTTATTTTACCTTTTAACACTTGTATACACTTTGATCTGATTGATGGCTTCACTCGTTTTTCTTTCGTTTTCTTGGGCTTTTCAAAGCAATTGTCACTCGTTCCCTCGTTACTTGGAGTATATACAGATAATACTAATAGATCAGACAAGACTTGAAACGTACAAGTGACTTGCTTTACGTAATTGAACTTGGACTAGGACGCTGCTCTTTGGTTGATGGGTGGGGGGCCGGCTGGGCCTTGGGTGGGCAGGAAGCGAGGTCCTTTGGACAAGGCAGTAATGCGTATAGTATGTATACTTTTACCTCCTAGAAGGCATACTCGACTACTAAAAGCCAACAGTATAATTGGTGGATTTCAATCAAATGTTGCTTTCTCAACTGCTTCTTGGAACCTGTGAAATAGCATTTTAAATAAACGACTTGTGTATACCAAATTACAGATGTTGACTCAATATATCCGTATCAACATGATGTCCCTGCACAAGATGATACATGCGACTTGGCGACAAGTGCAAGGTATATACTGTACTGTACCTCTCCGTTTTGCAGTATTTACTCAATTCCATTATTTGGTTGCTTTCGTATCGTTTACTCAATTGTTTTTACCCATTCCGTTACAACAAGCATCTTTTTAGCCTCCAAACTACTAGTCAGTCATCTAAGAATGTGGACCAGAACAATGGAACATCTGCTATTGACCACTCTAGTGGAATGGTACAAACCATTTCCACCATATTAAACGGTTGAGAGTATCGACAATGCGTCTACAAACTGCTACATCCACTGTCTTTTATGGACTTACAATTTTTGTCAGCTACACACCAAGATTGATTGTGAGTCGGAATCAAAAAAGCACAACTACATGGATTGCGACTGTTCAGGGACTGAAGCATTTCTGGTCGTTTCAAGTGTAAATGTAGCTTAGCTACTATTTGTTTGTTGGGCAACTCGTCGCAACATTTTTTTTGACCGCAGGCGAGACACCGATACTGCAAGAATCGAGCCATGTTGGACAGCAAAGCACGATAGAGTTTATGCAGCGTGGTGGAGAAAAGATTGACAGTAACAGGAGTGAGCCTTAAACGATGAATACTTGGTAAACAAGATGTGATGTAGTTCATTGGATTTATGCTGTCACTACATCAATACAAACGGTCTCTTCAATAATACTACGAACGTTCAATAACTATATTGTCGCTTCCACAGCATTCCCAGGCAACTGTATACTGTGAGAATGAGCAGGCGTGGCTGATGCAGATTGTAACGTGCCTGTAATAGCCGTTTGTTGACTGTTCTCGTCCCTCTGCCGAGATCCTGATGTCTTCAACTGAAATTGTGCATAACGTTTTGTCCTTGGAAACAGCTAGTTGATTGTCACTGACCAGGAATAACTACTGATATTGCAGATCAACTAGATGGTCATGTCCTATCAGAAGTGAGTCATATTCCTCTTGATGACCAACTTTATTGTCTTTTGAACTGAGCGGTTTGTAGTCCGATGAAACGATAGTTAAAGTCTAAAAGAAGAAAGGTCAAGGTAACGATAACAACGGCAATGTGACGGCAATGGAATAAGCTAAGTATGTCATAGATCTAGAAAGTGCCGCTAGAAAGCGCTCTTCTTCGCTCATGTTGTTCATAGCTGCTTGGTCATATTCCAGCAAGATTTCATCATTTTCGATGCAACGTCTGTGTATCAGACCATAGTCTCAAACGATTGCTTAACATGAACGTCACAAACATCCATTTTAAATGTGACACCTGTGACATCTCAAGAATGAAGTCATTTTAACCTCTAAAGGCTTAGCAAGGTCGCGTATGAGTTTCATCATCACTATCACTTGACGTCACCTCCACCTCAACAGACGTAGCCATTGCTGGCCTTCTGCAGCACCGCAGTAATGTTTTATAGCGTATTGGCAATATCATCTTGTATAGCAATGCAATTTGAGCTGAGTATTGAATGTTTTCAACTTCCTGTTTCTAATCTCAGCCTGACTTAAACATGTCCATGAGAAAGGATAGAGAGGGCTCACTAGCTCCGTATATAAGAGCTCCTTCACCATAAAATGTCCATCCTACATTGCATATCCACGCATGACATGCATGGATCATTGTTCCACATTTCCTACAAACTTATTTTTTCCAAAGCAAATCCCATTACCTCGTTGGTCCGTTGCTCAAAACAGACTCAGAAATACAGCAAATATATCTATGAGAGGCTTGCGGTTGAAATGCTTGTTCTTAAGGATGACATGAATTAAGGGATTAGCTCAATAGGACGCTACTTTTGACATGGTCATGAATATACGAGTACACCTCCCATTCTTGATCATTTTTCACGATATTGCCGTTCTATGCAAAGGTTTTGACATTATCATCTTAGTATCATTCGTTTGCTACATTGTTACACATTAGGATCTGTGACAATGAAAGCACGGCCGCATATGACAATTAAACCGATGGCTCCCATCATAAAAAGCCATTATCATTGAAATCTATTTTATCATACGCATTTTCAAGTCATGTATACATCACTTCAACATTTGAGTCTTTAGTTGACTGTAAAGCGTTGTAAATGCTTCATGTAGTTAAGGCAACAACATGTAAGCAGCAATATGAGGTGTTCTCTGGTGGTATGTGTGCCTAACGCGACGCTACAGTCTTTTGCGTTGCGTCCGCGTTGTATTATATTATGATGATACCAGCCACATCGTGTTCACAGCAGACAGAAGGAAAAATAACTTTGTCTTTCTTACTTTATAACGTGCCAGCGGCTTTGAGGCCTACTTTCGTCGATCTAGAAGAAAGTTGCGGTTCCTTCCGGCAAGTTAGCGCTCATAACGTTTACGCTTCGTACGAGGCTTATACGCATCGAGAGGCTGCGAGACTACTGTAGATCGAGTCGAGGCGTATCGCTTCGAAAACTTCGAGCCTTGAACGAGATCGTCCCACTTCAATAATACACGCGTTATTCGATCACGCAGATCATAGATCCGTTGGAGCACTTCGCGCTGGGACGGAGATGTGGAAAGGCTTGATGCGGTGGGCCTTGTCGTTGAGTGCTGTTCCCAGTCGTCCAACAACGGCAAAAAGCGTTTGCGCATGCGCAGTGCACCATCAGCCAAGCTTTGAAATAGCACGTCATTTTCCAAGGACTCCTCGCAAACTTGCTTCGACACTTCGACAGTCAGATGGTACGACGAGCTACCGAGGCCGTAAGCCTGTACAATATCATTGATATCCATTTGATCGCTCTCAACATCGTCCTCGTCGGAATTGTAGCTCATCCCACTTTTGCAAGTCCGACCGCTATCCGTCGCTACATCTTCCCACTCAACATCCTCCTCTTCTTCATCTACTGCTACTGCTGCTGGCACGGCCACAGCTTTGCATTCAATGTTATGGATATCATCCTGGTCGTATTTTCCTATTCCACCTATGTTGTCGTGTGCGTCGCTCTTCAGGTTTTCACTGTGCTCTTTGTTGCTCAATTGTGCAGCCGATCCATCAGCTAAACGCGTCAATTCTCTCTCTTGTGGACTATCCGATGCTATAAACGTATCCAACGTCGGCACCAAAATCTCAAAAGCGCGATTCATTTCTATCAACACCTGCTCTATCTCCAGTACATACTGCTTCATCTCTCGATCTCGTTGCTCCTTTTTGACATTGCTTACACGTTGAAGATTTCGCCGAGAATCTGCCTCTTGCTCTCTCTCTTGCTGCAACCTTTCACGTTCATTTGGAAACTCATATCCCCTGTCCAACAATACTGCATGACCCGCTACTAGGGATGGATACCGCTCTCCAAAGTCCTGTTTCCACGTTTCAATGAGCATCAATACCATCTTGACTTGCTTTGAATCTTGATTTCTAACGCGCAATGCTCTCGATACATTAGGACTCGGGTTTTCACCTGCTGCCACCAGCAAATGATCAAAGAATGTGGCTGTTTGTGTTACAATAAGTATCCGAAATGCTGCCGATCGTTTGAAAATCTCTTGACAAAGGTCCAATGTCTACAAAAATAACAAGAAGACCCGAATCAATAGCCGTAAGTAAGTAAAAGGTTCAAAAAAGACGATGAACTCGTGACGATCAAATGAACAGACAGACCCTCGAAAGAACAACGGGTGACTTTATTGCTCGCTTTAATTGATACAATACCATTGTATAGAGTTTTTGAATGTATTGCGATTGCAGTGGAGTCGTAGCGTCACGAAGAAGTCGCTTTAGTTGCTTCAAGCAGGTTTCAGGACTAGTACCGACATCCGAATTTAGTGGAGGGCGGGAAGAAAGACAACGTCTTCCATGATGTCTGCGGCGTTTTGTTTTAGCTTTAGCTGCAATATGAAAGTATGTAGACAAGGTTTGATCAAAACAAATAGCTTCATTCACAGCATTAAGCTCTTGAATGCCACTAATGGTATGGTCTTGAGACATCTTGAACGAAATGGGTCAAACGTCGCTATTATCTTCAAGTTTACCCAAAAGATCACAGCTAAACAGTAACAAAAAAAGTGACATTGAGTATTTGCGACAATCATTTCAGAAATTACATTATTATGGGTAAAAAGCGTGTGGATCAAGGGCCGTCGTTACGTCAAGAGCGTGGTCGGAATACATTCAATCGAAGTACGACATGTCGTAGAGAAGAAGAGAGTGCAACAAATTACCGTCGTCGTATGTTTTCTGTCTCGCTTCGTATGTGGGACTTTGAACAATGTGATACAAAGCGCTGCACAGGTCGCAAACTATGTCGCTTGGGCTATATCAAGAGCATGAAACCTGGTGCACACTTTCGAGGACTTGTACTATCTCCTGCTGGTGAACAAGCTGTTTCTCGAGCTGATCGAGACATTGTAATGGGCTCTGGTATCTCAGTGATCGACTGTAGCTGGGCTAAAGTACAAGACTTGCCTTACAAGCAGCTGCGCTCGGGTGTTCATCGTTTGTTGCCATTCCTTGTAGCTGCAAATTCAGTAAATTATGGACGTCCACACAAGCTTTCTTGCGCAGAGGCAATTGCAGCTACATTATACATTGTGGGACTCAAAGAGGAAGCTGTTCAAGTTATGGATGAATTTTCGTGGGGTGCAGAATTTCTCAAAATCAATGCGGATTGTCTGGCAAACTATGCAGCCTGTGAAAACAGTGCTGACGTAGTAGAGGCTCAGGTGAGGAAGGAGATAGAGGTGTTGTAGTGTTGATGTGAGAGGGATTAGTGCTGATGATGAACGGTGTGTATTGTTTGTGTTGTAGAATGCCTACTTAGCTGCATGTCAGGCAGAACACGAGAAGCGTCGGCAGCGGATGGATTTGCCAAGTCTGGAGGATGTTGAAGACGATGAGATTATTGAGGAGGAGGAGGACGAAGAGGCAGTGGAACTTGATCGCTTTGGCAATGTTATACCTCGCGAAACGTCGACCCAGGTACAGAATCAAGAAAAAACTATTGAGCAAGACTTTGACGAAACAATTCAGCAGGATGCAGATCCATCGTTATTGTCACTGTCTCGTGCAGAACGCGGACAATCGGACTCTGATGAAGAGATTACAAACTTGACGAAGAACTTGCACCTTGCAGTGGATTCTGTTAAAAAAACGCAGATGATGCGTGAGGAGATGCGCAATGCCCGTGCTCTTGACGGAGAGAAGGAGGCATACGCATTCTCCTCTATGGAAGATGTCCACCGCCAGCAGTTGGTGACAGTGTGCTTGGAGCAAACAGCGGTGGCTGTGTCAGGTGATGCAGTGTTGCAGTTGCCAAGGTCTGTGTATCACCAGTGGGAACAAGATGCTCATAATTTGTCTTCAGCATAGTTTATATGCATGCATAGTACGCTAATGAGGTCTTTTGAATGCATTCACTATGGCATTGAACTTTGAGAATAAAACCCAATGTGTTTTTGGAAAAAGCCCTAAATCTGACAAACCCACATCACCTTATCCCTTAAAATAAGGTAAAACGAAAACAGTGACGTTGTTTTGAGAATCTATTGACGAACATTTGTTGGAATTAGAGAATTACGTCATTATGAGCGTAAGTTATGTGTTGTTTTCTTCTCTACATAGAAGCTTTGTAATATCCAGTCTTATGATTCATCAGCTCCTTCCTGCTTTGGAATAATGAACTTTATCCTCAATCATGTGCAGTACTCAGCTTTATTTTTGCTTGTAATAGGAAATGAAGGCGACACAGCCACAGATATCAATGGAGCAGGCTCAGCAGAAGCAAATGAAGCAGCAGTAATAGGCAACTATACTTCATTCATCTACTATAATGCTACATTTTGCTAAGTGTTTTGTATGGTGTCGAAATTAGGGAAAAGGAGCAAATGCGTCAGTCTGTGATGCAACAGGTGATGCTGCCAGACGCTCGCGAGCGACGTAAGTGATTACGTAGTTTTTATACTGCAGTTTTTATAGCAAGAATCCCATCGGACGGCGGTGATGCTGGTTGTAGTGGCTAGGATAGCGATCGTAAAGCCAAAAAAGGCGCGCGCAATCGAGGATATGGTGATCGAGATGGCTCAGCGAGGGCAGTTGACGGCCAAGATCGACGAGGATAAGCTCATTGACCTGCTGAACCAAGTAGGCGTCACGGAAGAAAAGCAGCGCACCAAAGTCACAGTATAGCGTCGATTGTTTTTGGCAGCTTGTTTGTCATGTAGTGTCAATATTCATGAGATGTTATTATTTGGCGGCGTACTTGCAGATTAAGCGACGGACGTACTTTAGTGACGAAGAGGAGGACAACGATGATGACGACTTTTAGGCGCAATGATGACGAGCTTTTTGTAGTCGCGTAGCAACAGAGAATCTACCGTTCGTGCAAGATTAGCGGTATACCTGTGTAGAAAGCTCAAAACCCGCTGGAGAAGTCTCTGTCATGACGTTGATTGGAGTTTGCAGGTACAGATACAATAAGAAGCTGAGCCATGCTATCAATGTATGATTGCACTTGCACCCACGAAGATGAGTGTGCAAAATTACAATATCATTGAGCTCAGCAGTGATGATATCGTGGGAGTCATGTTGAGAATCCGCATGACTGACAGATAGCGTAATTTGTGGAAGCGAGATGCTTGAAACCACGCGTTGGTAAGCGTCACGTATGTAAAAGAGCGTTTACCTGCAGAGATGAAGCCAGCAAGGCTTTCACCAAAAGGTGTCTCTGCTTGTTCTACAGAATGCACACGCAATATGATTAATTCTAGCATCATTGCAGCGACTGGTTTTATACGCACCTCAGATTCCTGCTCGCTCTAGCGAAGTCTCCATCGTAGCTCCCAGCTATCTGAAGGAACATCGCTGTCAATTAGAAACACCCCTGTTTGGACACCGAACTCGATCAGTTTCGGTCGATACTGTGAGTCGTCCGTGCCATCGTCAAACCATTGGCTCACTACCTCGCCAGAATTTCCTCTTCATTGTCATCTTCCAGCTCACCAGAACTTTCATTCTTCGACATAAGCCCCCACAATCGGGAAGAATCAGCCGAAGCACGCTTTGAGTTTCAGTGAGAAGCGCCTTCGTAAACACCACATCTTCGGTTAAAGGTCGTCGCCCTGCTGCCACCCGTCTCAACAATTTGAAATCAACCGCGGAGTATGTGTCTATTGTTCTGGTACATGACTCCAAGGAATGAATGTTTCACTCGCAAAATTCTCTCGAGTACCACCTACTCAACGATAAGACGAGTTGCCACATTGTTTATCGCTGTCAGCCTCATTCACCGTCAACAACGATCGTATTGCTATTAGCGCCAAAGAGAAACCTTTGTGCACAGTCTCTTTACTTAGTCCTGATACTAAGACGTGCCATATCACTGTATAATGGACATCCATTCGTTCTCTCAATAAGTACTCATTCGAGTATTTGGTTTTGTACTCCAGCAATTGAACGCTGCAGTCATGCAGTAGGTGCTGAGCCTCGGAAATAGCACTGATGTATTTCGAAAACTGCAGCCAGATGCTGGAAGTATGTGTAAGAATTGGGGCAACTGAAGTGTTGTGATAACACAAGCTGCAGAAGAGGCAAGTCATTGGACATCTGCGGCTAGAGGGAGATGGATAGCAAAAAGTACAGTATAGCGCTAAGATCGCAGCGTAAAATTCGACCCAACAGCACTGGTACAACTCTTACAAAAGAACTTCCAAACCTTTCCGCATATATTTGCCATCTCCGTCGGCAAACAAGACACTAGTACGACTTGCTATTGAAGGCACTGCAAAGTCTTTTTGTTCTCTCGAGCCTGTGGCTTGCGAACATTTCCGGGTTTATGCGTCGATCAAATACGGTGTTGGTACCTTGAACAGAGGCTTGACCCATGTAACCTTCTTGAGTTTCATCTCGGTGAAGAGACGGACGTAATGGATACTCTTGGACAGCGACATGTCTGTTGTTTGATGCTGTGCCATGACTTGTCTAGCGAGTTCTAGCACCATTTCAAGGATGCAGTTGAGCAATCGACGACACCGAAGAATCCGTCGGGTCCGAGAAAGAGCATGAGGCGAGCAGTATCATTGCGTTCAGTCACCACACCAACACATAAAAAACGGGAGCTGACTGTTACATAGCATAAAAGACCACTATTAAGTGTTTTTGCAAATTTTCATTTGCGCTAGAATGACGCGTCTATGTAGTATATAGTTTATGTCGCTACGACTATATAATGTGCTGCTGATATGATTTTTTCTTTGTTGGTATAACCTGTGCTGCTAATATGATGGTTTCATTGTTAGTATAACCTTTGCAGTTGTCCGTTTTTTGAGTCTTCGTTGAACGTTGCAATTGAATCAACGTAGGAATTATATCATGGCTTGAGAGACAAATCTTCAGATCAGTATTTGGCTCTGCTTAGCTCTCTCCTGGTATACAGTACGCTGATTGTCTTCTTGTATAGTATTTGTTATACACGTCTTAGGCCATCCGGCAACTAACTGCTTGATCTAACATACCCCATCTCCAGCAGCTCGACAAACTGATTCTCACTTTTCATTCAAAACCATTGTCCTCACTGCTCAAGCATATCTACTGACAGAATCATGCGCCTTCCGTCCGCCCTCATGTGTGGAGCTCTTGCTGCGAGTCTATTGAGTGTTAATGTTTGTGCAGAACCATCAGAAGCCGCCAAGTCAGCTCGCTCACACCTCGCTAGCCAATCCAAAGCCTCCAAGAGGTGCTTGAAGGGACAGGAGCCCTTGCAAGTCAGCAAAGAAGAGGGGTTTTATACTGATGTATTGGAGTCGGTAAGCAAAGAAGAGGGGGGGGGTCATATGTTAGAGTCGTCAGTTTTGGAGTCGCTAGTGGAGTCGGTCGAGACGTTTGGTATGAACGCTCACCTCATCGCAGGCGAGACATCATTGGAGATGAATCCACTGCACACTCTTCTCGAGGCCGCAAAAGAAAACTTTTTGAGTGACCCAAACCTGATAAATATGAGCCACTTTAGTAAATTTATCACGCCATTGTCCGCTAACAGCCGAGCCTCACTCCCGGAGACGTTTTAGCCAACTGCAAGTGCACAGAGCTGCTTTAGATCATTGCTTTTGGTATATAAGCTGGTGAGATAAAGGTCACTACTCCAGAACAGAAGGCCATTGCTCCTAGTGTTGAAAGAACACTTAATGAACTGGTAAAGTGGTTAGAGAAAAATCACCCGACAGCAAAGTGATGAATTTTGTGCGCAAGGAAGCGATATTTATGTTTGAAAATACAAAACACGAAGAAACAAAGCGATGGATCAAGTGTATCGAATTATGCAACGAGCAGAACCCTGGTCATAGAATCAGACCTGCTGAAGTTATCAGAACGATCTATAATGATAAAGAACTGGCTCAGTTTATTAACACGTTTCCCAAGAGTACTACTACCAAGCTTACGTATTGCTTGAGCTGTGGGAAACATTCTCGCGAAGTCTTTCATGAGATTGGGCTTGACGAGCTATTTTTGGGTTTGCTTGAATATCGATATCGAAAACGGTTATTGGTCTGGTCACGAATGGTAAACGAATTTAACCTCATTTACCGCGGTGTAGAATTAACCATTCGCAGCTTGTTCCCAATCAAGGACAAACTGTACGTCAAAATACTGTTTGGCCGCAGAGACAAACCTCTAGGTTCAGACTCTTTAGCAGAAAAACTGCTATACCAGATGATTGATGTATTGCCCTCTACAAGTTCTCTTCCAGAACAAGTTTACGATCTTTTCGGTCTTACAGACCGTGGAATCAAGGATTTAGAGAGCCCTCAAATGATGGAATGGCTAATGTATATGGAACTTCACCATCCACGGGTACCTCCTATGTCAGTATTGGATATAAAATATGGACACGAAAATCTCGACAAGTTTCTTCGTGATGCACAGCCATTCAAGAGCGTCATGACTCTACGAAACGAATTCGAGAAGGTGACAGACAAGCAGAAGGAATAGACCAGGAAAAACAAGGATTTAAGATAACGGAGAAAGGCAATGATGAGATTGACGGGGGAGAAACGGCCGGCGCGCTTTCTCTGCCAGCCTCCAAAAAAGCGCAAACTTCATCCTGAAGCTACACATGTTTGGCAAATATATCTGTCAAGGCGTCGATAGTCCTACGCACAAACATTTCCCCTCCGCCATGCTGCACTTTCGATAGGCGAAGGGTAGATGCATTTTAAATCCCAATATCACTAAAAGTTGCTTTATCTTTGCCATACATTCGCATACATTGTCATTAATAGGTCATATGGATAAAATATGCAGCTTTTCTTCGGAAACCTGCTCAAGCACGCGACAACTTAGAAGCTTACATTAAAATACTTGAGTCAGTAAAAGTAGTAGAGCTTGTTTTCATTACTTGCATAGCAACCAGCTGTTTTAATTCTGTCCGTTGCCACTATAACAACCTAACATCATGCAGCATTAATCAAATAATGTAGTACTAGAATGGTACAACATGTGTAGCCTAGCTACTGTAGCTACTCTACTTATGCACTATGTGCAGATGCACTATGTGCAGAAGAAGTAGCCAAACTACTGTAGCAAAGCTACTTATGCACTATGTGCAGAGGAAGACAAGCATAGAGAGCTTCGACGTCTTAGGGTGTTTAACCCTCCTAGGCTAGCTCGTAGACTTGTGCCTATCGGTTGTTGTGACCGTGTATCAGAGAGACTAGTATCCAAAATACTGATTCCTCAGAAGGAATAGAACGCTCAGGCTGTAAGGCTTACAGAGCAGGTTTGAAACTGATTTATATTGATGTTTATCTTCTAACACTAAATATAGAAGCACTTACTGTATACTTAGTGCTAGTCACTATTTACTGGCTCTATAGCCTGTTATTATAATGCAAGCATGCATAGTCACTATACTTTAAATAAGTATAGTGACCACGTGATCTCTCTGCCACAATGTGACCCTTCGTACTTCCGGATACGGTCACATCACCTACTTTTGTACCCAAGGTACAGCCACATCCATTGGTGTGGCAGGTGTGTATGTAAAATACACACCTTCGTGTAACCCCGTTACAACATGGAAACAATATAGCACATTCCACCGGACAATTCATCTGCATTTACCTTTGAAGAAGTAGGCAGAGCCATATTATTAGGATATCTGTACGTGTTTTGCTTCACCCATTAGCAAATGTGCAATCAAGTGCTTAGTTTTCAAGAGCGCAATTAATCTATTGTCCTGTCCAAGCTACACAGCAATTATTCAATGTGGAGTGCGGCTTCTGGTAAACGACTTAGCTAGTTTGTCATCAGAATTTGCCGACTCATGATGAAAGTATTCACGAGATTTTACATCACGAGCTACGCGGCATACGCTATCAGGCCAAAGCCCAGCTCGAACGGTGGCTCGACGTTATTGCGCTTATATTGGCTGCAGAGACTGAGCGATCACGCGCAAAGCTTACTGTTCGCTCTGAGCAAAACTTGTCAAATTCAAAGCGAGAGTATAGTAGACCGACCGAAATCACATCGGCTCGGAGAGAAGTTGGCCTAGGATTTCAAGAGATTGCACTCCTTTCGTCTGAGGCGGGCCCCGTTTTTGATAATATCCTGAGTGACATCATCACGAAAAATCTAACAATTGTCTTTCCATCTAGTTCAGTCTTATCTTTACTACCTATCTAGACGGAGTTTCTCGCCGTGCTTGGAAGTGAGCAGCGTTTGTGTCGTTTGGGCATACCTTTGCTGTAAATAGAACCTTACCACTAGCGCGTCCCAACGGTGTCTTAGAGAATGACGATAATGACAGTTCTGGGTGCTTCAGCGGATCCCCCGTTGAAGCAAACAAAACTGACTTGGCTGTTAAAAATACTACAATTATCAAAAAGCCAATTGATTCTGGACAACAGCAAGAGCGACGTCAATCTCAAGAGAAGCAGCAAACTTTGCTATATCTCAACAAGGCCCATCCGTGGTATCGCGGTGATTTTGACTCAAACTAGACTACGAGTCATTGCTTCTTGGGAAAACGCTAGCAAGAAATGCACCGACACGGGATTTCTTCCAGGTATCACCACTGTCTTTGCACGATGTTGACTCGAAACACGGTGTTCAACACAAAGTACGACAAGAGATTTTTCTGTGCTTGTATTTACGGCTGATCATAGTGCAACGCGCTTATTTGCCATTTTCCAGCTGTGGGCTACACGGGGACAGATTTTGATCTTTCGACATCTACGATTGAGGTTATTTACCGGAAGGATGATCCAAGTGGGAAAGCTGACAGTGGCTTATCGTTGCTTTTACATTAACATCTTCTATCGGCAGCGTATGCTTTAGAAGCAACCAGAGGCAGAAATAGCACTAACGTACATTTTACTTCAATTTACATAGATTTTTTAGGTATGAGTTGCTAGTAATTGAACCACTAGTTATTGTACTGTCATTATTACAAAGTTTAACTACATGAACGCCTGCCATCAACTTTTGTTTCATGTAGCTCACACCACATACCTTTATTTAATACAACAATCACAATATTGTCATGGTCGTGCCATGTTGACTTGTTATCACCCAACGAGGTTATATTGCTCAAACCTAACAATTTTACTTGAATAAATATATTGACGACAATCAATTAGAAGGTTTAAGTATTTTTGTGTGGTGAGCTCGTACTCAATGTCCTGAACCCAAGCGTCACGTCGTACGTGAGGGTCTTGAAAATCCATCAAGTTTTGATTTTTCACGTGGCTTTGTACGAGAACTTTGGATTCAGATTCCATGGACACAATAATTAACTCAATCAATTCAAGTGAAGTTTTATACTATTTAGCGTATTCTAACACGATGGAATGAAAAGGAACAGAGAGTCACACAAGATGAAGTGGTTAGGACAATCGCCATAGATGGAAAAGAACAACATGAGAAGAGTAGATGTAACGGGGTTACACGAAGGTGTGTATTTTACATACACACCTGCCACACCAATGTGGTGTGGCTGTACCTTGGGTACAAAAGTAGGCTTGATGTGACCGTATCCGGAAGTACGAAGGGTCACATCGTGGCAGAGGACCACGTGGTCACTATACTTATTTAAAGTATAGTGACTATGCATGCTTGCATTATAATAACAGGCTATAGAGCCAGTAAATAGTGACTAGCACTAAGTATACAGTAAGTGCTTCTATATTTAGTGTTAGAAGATAAACATCAATATAAATCAGTTTCAAACCTGCTCTGTAAGCCTTACAGCCTGAGCGTTCTATTCCTTCTGAGGAATCAGTATCTTGGATACTAGTCTCTCTGATACACGGTCACAACAACCGATAGGCACAAGTCTACGAGCTAGCCTAGGAGGGTTAAACACCCTAAGACGTCGAAGCTCTCTATGCTTGTCTTCCTCTGCACACAGTGCATAAGTAGCTTTGCTAGAGTAGCTCGGCTACACCTGGTAGCACCCGCAGTCAATCCGCACCTGGGTTTGCGACTACTTTTCTGTGTGAGAATGAACATCGACGAGATGTCAGCGGTTGGCCTGTCACAAGCACAACAGGAAGGGTTGCAGAAGCTGCTTCCTATACTTGGCCCTAAGGGCGTGGAGTACCTTATCTTCCAGGGCGAAAAAGAGGTTAACAAGCGTCTTCATATGCTTGATGAACATAATAAAGCTCTAGCCGAGCATGTATAGGCACAGATTCCTTCTTCTGCGCCTTCGGCCATGGCGACTATGGCGCAAGGAATGGTCTGCAGACCAAAACCCATACAAATGGAAGTCGATAAGTTTGACGGCAAAGAAGGTGACAACCTTATGCTTTGGTTCGGACAGGTTGAGTCACCTATGCTTATAGCCGACATCACCTATGAACCGTACCGTGTGGGCTTTGCCACGGGCAAGTTAGCTGGTGTAGCCAAACAGTGGGCGTTCACATGTGGTGCATCATTGCAAGATGCTTTTCCCACATGGGCCAATCTGAAAGTTCAGATGATCCAGCCGTCTGCACCGCCAAACCAAGCACACCGTAACCGTCGCGGTTGTTGGCGTGTCGCCAAGGCAAGCGTGAGCTTGCGGCATATGTACAAAATTGAGAACTCTCATTGCTGCCATAATCATAGACCCTTTGTCTGAGGCATTGACCGTCACGGTCTTTATGGAGGGCCTCCGAGTCGGCGTTGCCAGAACAGAAGTCTTCTGGGTAAACCCATCCTCATTCGAGGAAGCTGTCGGAGTGGCATGAATGCTGAGACCAACTTTAAGGCCGCTAGGCCTGCCATTTATAACTACTCGTCTGATGGGTCTGTCTGTACCCATGGACTGTAATCAAGTGGAGGATGAAGAAGCTGAGCTTTAAGCTGCGGAGCAGCAGATTGTGCGCAGATGTGATATCTGCAAGAGCACAGGCCATTTGATGGCAAAATGCCCTGCAAGGAAGGCATATTTGGCCTCGAAGGGCCGACGCCTCATGGGTAAACCTTCTTGGTTTGCCGCGGGGAAACGGCGGAACACAGTAGGCGTGGGGCGCCCTAGTGGGGAAGAACTGAGCTTTGTTGAACATTTAGGAGGTAGAGTAATCAGGGCCTAGCCCCAAAGAGATCCGAACTCTCAAAAACGGAACGGGAATGCAAGCCAGGCTTGCTAGTCGTCGAAGGGACGATTAAGGGCTATAATAAGCCATGGATCATTTTGATCGATTCGGGGGCATCGGGAAGTTATGCCCGCCGTGCCACCGTAGAAGGTAGTCAGCAATATGCTGAAGCGCTTGTAGCGCGTGAAAGTGACACATTCACAGTTCGCTTAGCGACGGGTACGCGTGTTACGGTACCCAAAGTCCCGATGGACTTAAATGTAAAGTTCTTGGACTTTAACAGCATGGAACGCTGTTTAGTCTTAGACCTGGATGCGAGGTATGACCTCATCCTAGGCATGGCATGGCTAGAACGTCATGAGCCATGGATTGATTAGAGATTGCAGACCTTAGGCGCAACGCGCAATGCTC